TTGAAGATGGTAGTCTTGTCCGGAGATGGGATACTGCAGATGGGAGAGTGACGACCTGGCAAATTGTTACAACTAGAATGTTTCGGGAAGTTGTGCTACGTCAATCAAATCATAGTTTAACAGGAGGACATCTCGAAGTTAAGAAGGTATTGAGTCATAGATTTTACTGAATAGGTATGAGGCAAGATGTGGAAGAATGGTGCAGGACATGCAGTACATGTTGTGCAATAAGGGGACACAAGCATGAGGGACGTACTCCAATGAAGTTATAGCAAGTTGGAAAGAGTAACCATTGACATTGCTGGTTCTTTACCCAAACTCGTGTTGGAAACAAGTACATTTGTGTGGTGATGGATTATTTCACCAAGTGGCCTGAGGCATATGAAATACCAAATCAGGAAGCTACAACTGTAGTTTCGGCTATTCGTGATTTTTTCTTCAGGTTTGGTATGCCATACGAACTGCATTCTGATCAAGGCCGTAACTTTGAATCAGCTGTGTTCCATGAATGATGCAAGTTGTTTGGTATACGAAAGACCAGAACAACGCCACTTCACCCACAGTCTGATGGTAGAAAAGTATAATTGGACACTGGGACAGGAATTGGCAAAGTTTTGTAATAGCCGCCAAAATGACTGGGATGTCTTACTCCCTCCACTGTTGGAGGCCTATAGAACAGCAGAGCATGAAGCCACTGGACACACTCAAGCAAAGCTAATGTTTGGTCGGGAACTTAGGTTGCGAATGGACCTGATAACAGGAGACCCACCTTACGAAGAGTTGCCTGAAAATGTGCCAGAGTTCGTGAAAGTATTATCTGAAAGGATGGATGATATTCACCATCAAATGCGTTCAAACTTGAAAACTTCTGCAGATTCTCTGAAGCTATGCTATGATAAGAGATCTACTGAAGTCAGATTTGTACCAAGAGACAAGGTGTGGTTGTATAATCCCATGAAGACCAAAGGGAAGTCTCCTAAGTTGTCTTCTCAATGGAAAGGCCCATATGACATAGTGGATCGTCTTTCAGACGTGACTTTCCGAATAAAATGTGGTCGAAAACTCTACCCAGTTTTGAGAAGGAAAACAGTGTAGCCTATAATGAAGTTATGCCACTGATGTGACTGTTAGCGATAATGAGACATTTCCTGATGGAGCAGATGAACCCCACGTGAAGCAGAAGCCAATAACGCGAGATCAGTATTGAATAAGACACGTCTCGTAAAATTAAGAGACTTTGTTGTATTTCAATTTTGTGTTTGTAAATTCTGTACATTTAATCAAGTTATTGTTAATTATCTATTGGTTTAATGTAAGTGGCTATTGTTCGGGACGAACAATACTAAGGAAGGGGCAGTGTTACGACAGCGGAAGTCACGCGACACTGGGAGCATGCGTGCTGGAATTTCTAGAAGGATCATAAATTTTCCTGGCAACTCTAGTTTGTTCCAGGCGCCATCTTTTTTAGTATATAAGTCCGGCAAATAAAGCCAGCGAAAAAAGATAGAATTTCATAGATAGATAGATATAGAGATAGATAATTGAGTCAAGCGAACAATAGGCACCGTAAGTAAAGTGTGTGAATCGCTGTGAATTATTGCGTGCGTTTATAAAAGTAGTTAAGTTAAAGTGACTGTGGAAAGAATAAACTAGTTTTAATTAAGAAAGGACTTGTATCGCTGAAGCTCCTCTGAAAGAATTTATACCACAATTAAGGAAATTATCAAACGAGCAGATACGTAACAATATTGTCCTGACGTCTAAAATATGCTGAAATACATTTTTCCCAAATTCAAAGTAATTAAAGGCTATCTTCAAGTATTTTACTTAACAGGACAGTACAAGCAAATTTAATATATGTTAATTATTACATAGCTTAAAACATTAAAAATATACAAAATCATTTATATAAGAATGTTATTTATATAAATATAGTTCATTATATAAGTGATGGTGCAACAAATAATATTTTATAAATCACAAACCTCTTTACGTACATGAAAACACAAACTTACAAAACCTGAAAGAAGCCCCCACCCAGTGTCACAGTGGTATGTCTGCGGACTTACAACACTAGAATCCTGGTTTCGATACCCGTAGTAGGCAGAGCACAGATAGCCCATTGTGTAGCTTTGTGCTTAATTATAAACAAACCTAAAATAAAACATTTTATGGGTAGCTTATGTTCAAACGTCATAATCTACCATTGAACTAAATACACTTTATTAGTTCTATGCACTGTTCACTTTAATTGTGACGAATTTATTATCATATATTAATTCTAATATCGATGTTTGTTTAAATTAATTTATAACTTATACCGTTTAATATATATTGCGAAACTTCTGTCTATTCCCTAATGTTGTAGAAGATTCTCGAGTGTAAGAATCAACAATATATGTGTGTGCATAAACGCTAGTGTTAGCGTCAGTATTGTTACATAAAACTGAAATTTCGAGAAACTCTCCACACGCCTACAAATATAACCAACAAGACGTGTCATAAAAGAGTATCTATCATTGGGTTGCTGTATTGGTATACTATAAACCTCAGAACGCTTATTAATAGAAAAACTTCAGATATTTGACCAGGAACATTTATACATTTCGAACACTATAAGCCATTTAACTTCAGTGGATTGACATTGGACAGTAGTACTTTTATGTAGACATTATATAACTTCAGCGGTAAAAACCCAAGCTCGACCTATAATAGGCGTGTTATCAGCTACACATATCTAGCTAGCTCCCTATTAAGTGAATTGTACCTACGTCAACTCGAAATTAACTCACTCATCGTGAACCCTCGATAAGATATCAAGAAAGTTCCAGATTAGAAAGAATACTTTATACTGCTTGTAAGTTTGTAAAACTTTTGTATATAAATATTGTTTGTAATAACTATTTGTAATAACCATTATTGTAAATTGTATTATTGTTTGTGTATTAAAATATATTTGTATTTAAAAAAATGAAAACTGTGTGTATCAATCTTGTTGGCAAATATCATAAATTTGATATATATCGGCATTTATTTGATTATTAAATTTAGATTATCATTTAGCTCGATTTCAGACCATTCGAAATTGGAAAAATTGATAAATACATAAAGTATGAAATTTATGTATTTGCAAACTAAGTTATCACTGCTACCATTATGAACCAAAATATAGGATAAGATTTACATCTGACAATCAGCCTAATGAACAAGGACTACTGCACATAGGACGAACTAATAGAACAAGGACGTCAGCTACAAAACAGACACAAAAGTATCTCCTAGTCAGTATGATACCGTTACGTATCTGTTCGTTTGTTAATTTCCGGTAGAAATTCTTTCCGAACAACTTCAGCGATACAAGTTTTTCTTGATTAAACCAGTCTATTCTTTCTCGATACAAACTTTAGTACACGGTAATCCCACAGTCAATACGTTTCTCGTCACTTTAAACTTAACCACTTTATAATACACGCTAGCTCGAAACAAAATTGTAAATTACCCGGAACTCAAAGTAACTACCATTCATTTTATCATACATTCAATCATCAACATCCGCTGGCTTTTCTCGCCAGGCTTATATACTAACAAAGAGGCTTCGACAAAGTTCGAGGAGTTCCCTGATAATTCGAGAAACTCAGTTACGCATGCGTAAGCAGCGTCACGTGACTTCCGCTGTCGTAACAATTCACTGTTATATTAAGACCCTTGTTTTTAAGAATTAAAAATCTGTATTTGTGCATACGTTATTGTAACAAACAGTTTAAGGTCTGATAAATAACATTAAACATTATGAAATACCAAACAAACCACAAGTTAAAACAGTTTTATGTTAAAATCAATAATTTAAACATTTCCTTCATCAGTGGCTATTTAATGTGATTAAATACAGTTATTGTAATGTCAAGTGAAATTCTAACGGTAAGCTTGGCCGGGTGACTTGTTCTTTCAGAAGTGGGGGCGTTATAATGTTATGGTCAATCTTATTATTTGTTGGTAAAAGAGTAGCCCAAGAGTTGGTGGTGATGACTAGCTGCCTTCCCTCTAGTCTTTCACTGCAAAATTAGGGACGATTAGCGCAGGTAGCTCTCGTGTAGCTTTGCGCGAAATTCGAAACAAAAAACTATTGGTAAACTTGTACATGTGATTTGTACTTCTTAGGATAAACCATGATTCATGAAAAATATGGTTCGATGTGTTATTATATTCAACTAAAATTTCCTATTTTACGTAAGTGGAATATGATGTAACGTATTTTATCATAAGCCGTGTGTATCTTAGAGAATGAAAATCATATTAGCATAGGTACCAGTACACCTGTATTACCAGAATGTCACGCGCTATTACCTCAACTGTATTTGGTTATCCTCACTAGATTAGAACACTTAGTAGCTACCGAGGAAGACAGTAGATTAAGAATGTAGTGTTTAAAAGTGCATTAGGTCTAATACTACTGTCTTATGTCAAACATATTTGTAATAATTTGTCGCCGGCTTGTAAAAGGCGTACACACCATAACAAAATGTTTGATACATATATATTGTTGTATACATATATATAATAAATTTAGACTTTGTGGCATTTCCGTTGTATTAGGAATATAGAAAAATTCAATAGAAACGTAACCAAGAAGAAAATATTTATAACTTTAGTAGAATGTGTCAATATTAATCCTCAAGGGTTCAACAAATATTGTACAATTCTACTTTTCAATTACTGCTTTTTCACTCTCTCAGGAATTTGACCTATAAATTCACATATTTATCTTAACTGTTTTTTTTTTTAATTTATCTTTCTCTGTATACATGTTCTTAAACTAAGTGATTAAAATTGACTTGCATCCAACACACATCTGGATCATTCAGATTACATTCACAGACTCACTCTTTAGTTTTAACTCGTGTTTCTTTCCTATAGTTCCACCTGGAGAACCGATCATTTTAGACGAACAAGGTCAAAAACTCGAGGGTCTCGTTGGACCTTACAACGAAGGCAACTCGCTTACAATAGCTTGCCAGGCTAGCGGTGGTAAGTGTTGGATATACAAGACTATTTAGTGTAAGCGTTATTATTTAGTTTATTTTGTGACTTAATATTTAATGATTGTTTAGTTTTATGACAGGAGTGTGGAAGATTGATTGTTTTAAAAGTGTTAGTTGTGACAAATTTTTGTTATGTAACTTTGTACAAATCGAAGGTTGTGTTTGCAATTGCATTGTTGTCTAGGCTTTACTAATATTGATGACGTCACGTTACTCGAATCTTTGGTGTTTTTCTTGTCACCTTTAGTGAGTATTGTTACATTAAAGCGTCGCCTGCGTAGTTTATAGAAAGTTCGAGACCTCAGTGAACAAACTATATATATATAGGTGACTAGCCAGCGCAAGTAAGTAGAGAGAAGTCAAGTCAAGTGAGAGATAATTAGACAGATCTAGACTGAGTGATTGGCAGTTTAGCTGTGACGAGCAATGTATAAAGAAGTTAAAAGTTTAGTCAGAAAACGTTAAGTCAAGTAAAATTCAGTCAGAAAAATGTTAGAAAACGTGACGTTAGCCAGCGTGTGGGTGATTAGCCATAACGACCGATATTTTAAAGTGAGTTTCATAGTTTAATAGCGATAAAGAGAATAATTTGTCTTGTCAAAGGGTGTTATAAAGTAATTGAATTTTGACGAAAAGGAGACAATTATTTAAAGTTCAAGATACAATTTTGGTAACCCACGGAGTAACGTAAGTGAATCTATCGGAGATTGTACACTAAGAAACAAAGTAAAGAAAAGTAATTCGTCTTGTCAATTGGATTCTAAACTAATTGAATCAGCCTATGTGGACTTTTGACAAGAACGAGAATTATTTAGAGTTTTCGATACAAATGCGATATCCGACAGTGTAAAGAATTTTTGTACCTATATTTTACTTGTTTTGAATATATTATTTCAAAACAAGTGGATTGTATGCTGTCCGTTTATTGTTTGAATGTATCGTCACAGACACATACTGTAGAAGAATCCCAGCCCACACATACATAAATAAGCATGTTTGTTTTGTAGAGCAAAGCCATATTGGGCTAGCTGCTGTGTTCCCCGCGGAGAATCAAACCCCGGATTTTAGCGTTGTAATCCCGTAAACTCATCGCTGTCCCTCCGAGCGACGGTGTGTTCATCTAAGTCTAGATATGTTTCTTAGTCGGAAAAGTTATCAATAATTTAGAAAGGTTTTGAATATATAAGACGTCATTTTTTTTAAGTACAGTTGCACTGAAAACGTCGACTTTATTAAATGTGAATGATTTTAAGATTTAATAGCATTGATTTTGTCTAGGTCTCTTTATTGTCATATTGATAGGCATAGCTAGATTAGAACTGTTTTGAATATTTTATGTTTTTTTATACTTGGCGTGAGACATTTTCAACATTCGTGGTATTAAAGTCGGCGAAACTTCAAAACGATCACGATAGCTCATGAATGTATTTATAAAGGGTTCACTCCAATGATGTGCACAGTTTTCGAGATTTCATTGTCTTTTTTTGCATTAAGTCAAGCTAGACATGAGAGCCAGTTTGAAATGGATATGTGTTGTAGACGGGACGTTTGATAACCACCGACACAACTTCAATCTTGTATGTGGAATAACACGTACCATAAGAAATTAAAATGAAACGAAACAGACTATTTCAGATATTTATATTGAAAGTAAAGTTTAAGCTGGATTCCTGTTGCACCTAGCGTTTCTGAACATCTTACAAAAGATTTTAATCTATACATTGAAAATAACTGACTAATAATTACGATATGTCGTGACTGTTCCTGTAGCACAACATCACAAGAACCCGGATGAACATTTGGTGGAAAAATGACAGCTGCAGTCAATTTATGTTTTTCTTAGGTAATAATCAATATAGACAAACATAATTAAATAGTGTTATTTTGTAAAGAAAAAAGGCGAAAAGTAAGCTTTGCAACAAGTACAATCCAGATATAATAACAAAAGTAATTATTCACTTGAAGATGAGAATACCGTTCGTAGGGTGAAAAAACAAATCTACACAAAATTATCAGAAAAATCACAATAAAAGGAATAGTGAAATTACATTGATAAAAACAGAAATTAAAGTTGGATTGTTGTGATCTTAATAAATGAATGTTACTATGATTTGTTTTTTATTATTGTTGTTGAATTTCGCGCAGAAATACTCACTAGCAGTTCCTAATTTAGAAGTGATAGACTAGAGGGAAGGCAGCTGGTCAGGATTTCCCATCACCACCTCTTGGACTAATCATTACTAACAAAAAATGAAATTAATCGTCACATTATAACGCCCCAACGACTGAATAGGTTTATATGTTCAGTGACTGGATTCGAACCCTCGACCTACAGATTGCGCTTCGTACGCCTTAACCATCAAACCATGCCAGGAAACCATTATGGATAAAATTTAAAAAATATTACATTTCACTTTTGTACTAGACCTCTCGTTGTTCAGCGGTAAGTTTGCGGTCTTAAAACACTAAAATCCAGGGTTCGATTCCTCTCGATGGGCAGGGTGCATATAGCCCATTGTGTGAGTTTGTGCTAACAAAACAACAACTGTTGTACTCGGGCAGAACGTCAAATACCATTTGTGATAACGTAACTAATTTTAAAAAAATGTGAAATAAAATAAAATAGCCAAAAATTATATCATTTTGAGAATGACTTGTTTTTTTCACCAATTGTTTCACCATTTTGAGACTGTCTTTTGTTTTTGTATCAATCGTCGTTTGAACAATATTAGCTGGTTTTCATTAAAGAAAGAAATACATCACGTTTAACCTACAGCTTACGAAGCTTTGATTAAATGAAGCATTATTTAATTATTAACAACAATTTAAGTCCAACTTGTTTACTGGTGTGATAGAGTATAACAAACTCTTTATTTCTTAAGATATGTGCAATGAAAATTATATGATAGAGTATAACAAACTCTTTATTTCTTAAGGTATGTGCAATGAAAATTATATGATAAAGTATAACAAACTCTTTATTTCTCAAGGTATGTGCAATGAAAATTATATGATAGAGTATAACAAACTCTTTATTTCTTAAGGTATGTGCAATGAAAATTATATGATAGAGTATAACAAACTCTTTATTTCTTAAGGTATGTGCAATGAAAATTATATGAAAGAGTATAACAAACTCTTTATTTCTTAATGTATGTGCAATGAAAATTATATGATAGAGTATAACAAACTCTTTATTTATTAAGGTATGTGCAATGAAAATTAAACTTATTATGTAATGTCTGTCGGACGTGTTTGATTTGTTACAAATTTCTGACCAACTCAAAGTAACAGATTACTATTCACACAAGTTCTTATCGGGTGTACGTTTTTATCGGTTGTACACAGTAAAACCTTTGTTTATTTTTATGTGGATTTATTTATTTTATTGTCTAATTATTGTGTAAATAAACAAAAGTTGTACTGTGTACAACTGATAAAAATTTGTATGAATTGTAAAAAACATAGTTGTTTCTAATATTTAGTACAATACTTTTATTCATCCGGTTAAACATGGGTTCGAACCCCGTTAAGTGCCTCTGCCCATATTTCTTAGGCTAGTAAATAGTTACGAAGCATAATTTCAATTAAACAAAACGTGTTATAATACTTCCGATTTTTCCTTTCATTTGCATTTTCTTTCCATCATTTCTCAAGTGATTTATTTATATAAACCAAGGAAACTGTTTTACGTATTTCCTTTCTCGTTACGTCCACATACTTCTCTCTCTTTGAAATATCATCAAACTAAAACGATAATTCTCAGAATTAAAAAATAATAATTATGAAGTATATTTGTGTTTATCCTTAACGTTTATTTGTATATATTTTACTTCTTCAGGCAAACCACGGCCATCTGTGACCTGGTGGCGAGATTACGCCCTTTTGGATGATAACTACACATTTGAACTCGGAGATGTTGTACAAAATAAGTTAACAATTGACAAACTCCATCGACATGACCTATTAGCAGTGTTAACTTGCCAAGCGTCTAACAATAACATTACCGTGCCAGCATCAAATGCCATTACTATTGACCTCAATTGTAAGTATTATTGTGAAAAAAAAAAACACATCTAAACCAAACAAACAGCTGAAATTCAAACAATATATGAAGCCTTCTTTATATATTTGCTTCGTTCTTCCAAACAGCACTGATGAGCCGAGAAGTTGGTAAAACTCGTCTGTTGCAGTGATAGTAGCAAATCAAACAATAAATTGAAATTCACCTTTTGTGAAGAAAATAAATATATGTGTATATATCATTATTATTGATTTCTTTATTAGGTATTGTTTAATATTCGATGTCATAACTACTGGTCTGAATTGTAAGTATCATTGTCATATTTTATATTATTAGAATTGATCCCCAAAACCCGAACTTTTGTTTTATTATTTTGTTTAACAGTGAAACCAGAAAAAGTAGTCATCACACCTTCTAAAAAAACCTATAGTTGCTGATATTTTTTATATTTTATAATTTGACAGTAAAACCAGTCACCACACCTTCTAAAAACACCTATAGTTGCTGATAAATGTTTTATTATTTTGTTTAACAGTAAAACCAGTAAAAGCTGTCACCACACCTTCTAAAAACACCTTTAGTTGCTGATAAATGTTTTATTGTTTTGTTTAACAGTAAAACCAGTAAAAGCTGTCACCACACCTTCTAAAAACACCTATAGTTGCTGATAAATGTTTTATTGTTTTGTTTAACAGTAAAACCAGTAAAAGCAGTCACCACACCTTCTAAAAACACCTATAGTTGCTGATAAATGTTTTATTGTTTTGTTTAAC